AAACAATTATTGTATTATCGTCTTGGAATGGCTTAATGCTTTCTTTCGGTGAACAATAGTTTTTATATGAACGACAAAACACTTTAACCGAGGGATGACTGTACTTCACTCAGAGTGAAGTGAGTTCCTAAACATATGGGCATTGAAGCAAAGCTCAACTTCCGTGTACAGCCCTGCAGAGCCAGCGGCGGAATTCCCGATTCCTACGACAGGGGCGAATCGACCCATTGGGTAACCGCTGTTGACTTCCCCACCAAGTGGGCTTAGGTCAAGCCCCCACCACGATTTGAATGTCCCTTTGAGTTCAACTCGTGTGCGTTACAAATTTATACAGTGAATGAATGACCTCTATGAATTACACTGAAGTAGATGGCCACGCAAAGTGTTACAATGAGCAATTGAGTTGGTGGCGGTGTCCGCAGGGAGCAGCGAGTGGCGAGGGCACGCGAGGATGAGCGAGGATGAGCGAGACCCAGCCCGGCGTGACCCAGCCCGGCGGGACCCCTCCTGAGGGCCACGCGTGCGCGGTCAACGCCCCGAGTATTTACACCCTGACCCCAAGTGTTCAAAAAAACCCCCGTCAAGTAGTCAAGATGTGCGACAACCTTCTAGCGTGCGAGGCTTAGACACCAGAGTTGCATGTCTCATGCCGACAAGGGGACACCACCAAGAGGGGTGGCTCTGGAAGGCAGCCACCGGCGTTGCGCTCCGCGGGGGGTGCCGTGAGCCAGGACCCCGTTCATCACTCGCATTGCGTCGACGTGGGGGGGGGGGGTCCACTTGCTCTGACTCAAGGCGCCCAGCTGGGCCCGGGCTCACAAACACGGAGTGCATCGTTTCACGCCGCCTTTCATATTGCAAGAGACACATTTTTTACGTTTATTGTGCTGCATGCAAATGGGAACAATTTAATAGGATTTTGCAACGAAGTGAAAGGCGAAAGAACATACGGTCGGCAGACAATACAAGCCGGGCATAATGCATCGCCTGCCTTCCCACAATCCTCGCTCTACACAGAGCTTTGCCAGAGCTGTTGCCACAGGTGATGCTTTGTTGCTATGGGAGACGTGGAACACAGTGATCATGCTGCTGCCTTTAAATATGGATTTTATTTCGTGCTTGTGATCATGCCACAATTTGTATTTATTTAAAATATTAACTGCAATACGAATACTGTCTGTGTGTGTATATATACAAATACATACACAGGCACAGATCAATTAACTGGGGAGCAGTCGTGTCACGGTTAGCGCTACGCTGCCCTACGAGCCCGGCGACCCGAGTACGATCCCCGCTCACGGACAACACCAGTGACGATTATCTGAATGGGTCCTGGGCCTCCCTTAGGTCGACTCAGCCTCGAATACCGAGTGCCATGTGCAGTAAACATCGCCACTGGGGAGATAAAGGCGGCCGGGCATGGTGCTGGCCACCCACCCCTCGTGTGCCGTGCCGGCCTTCATAGGTGCTCGCAGACAGCAATTGCCCCAACAACCCGTGAAGGATGTAAGGGGATATTTATATTTATTTATATCGATTTAAACATAATTTTGCAGAATTTGTTTCCCTTTTAATTAAATATATTCTTAAGAAGACGCATAGGGGAAGGCACCGTGTATAGGTGTGCGGCCAGAGCACAGAACGAGTTCCAACATCGAAGAAATATTTGGAGTTTGTGTCTCTCTCTCTCCGTGGTCGGCGTGGATTTTTCTCCAGGTCCTCCGGTGTCTCCCTCTGCATTTAGAAACAAGCGTTTAGATAATTTGACTGTTATCATAAAATTCGACGTGATAAGACAGTTCACTGAGCTAATATCATTTGTAGTTAGCTTGCTTCCAGAAGAGAGCTGCATAGCTCAGTGGGTCTTCCCTGGTAAAATAGAAAATAGTTTAACAGTTTAAACGTCACGAGTTCAGTTTGTCATAAGAATTCTCGCGACTCCGAGCAAACCGGAGGTGCGATATTGGGCATCGTAAAGTTACGGGAGAGCTTGCGGTTGGAGCGGACCACTCGCCGCAGCTCTGGGGTCACCGCCCCTCTTCATCCTCGTTCCGAGGCGCAGGGCGCAGCGTGAATCGACGCGCGGAGCGCCGGGGGGGCTTCTGTGGGTCGATTCAGGGACCAATAAAAGTTCACTTTTACCAATCTACCGCTGAGAGATAATGCAATAATGTATGGTAATGAAAACTGCACTATGATTTAATGCAATGCCAGCCAATTGCTTCATGGCGAATGGCAGCTGTCGTTGTCTGTGCATGTCTGTGTTTGTGTGTGGGGAGCGATAGTGCAGCAGTTAGCGCGCCGCACTACGAACCCGGCGATGCGAGTTCGATTCCCGCTCAAAGCCAACACCACTGATGATGATTAAATCGCTCCTGGGTCTCCCCTAGGTCGACTCAGCCTCACATGAGAACCTGGTGTGGTGAGTAACCATCGCCACTGGGGAGATAGATGCGGCTGGGCGTGGTGCTGGTCACACATTCCCTCGTGTGCCGTCACGGCCTTCGTAGGTGCTACTCGCGAACAGAACTTACCCCAACAGTCTGTTGAGGCTATACGGGGGATCTTTGTCTTTGTGTGTGAGAGGTCTGAGAAGTGAGGGGCAGAGTGCGTGTGTGGGAAGTCTGCAGGTGCTTCAAATATGACATTTCACGGACAATTTCGAGTTGAATATATCTTTGAACTTTAACGAGTTGTCACCTATAAAATGTTACTATTTATTATATTTTGCACGCATATATTCTTGTTCCTGGATCATTTTGCTGTTCAAGTATTGTGCCGTGTTCCCCGAGTTCCGTTCTATCCAGCCCAGGTTGGCGACTGCACGCACGCACGAGCGCCCACCGTCGACGGGGCTCGCACGTGGCCACGTGGACAGGGAACGTTTCAAGAACATTGCTCTCTGGACACTCTGCTGTCCGGAAATGGAACTGCCTCCCTGATGAACACAATGTCGGCAAAATCACCGATTCTGGTCTTAAGGCCTTCACATGCCGAGCTCACACGTGGACATCTCCCGACTCCACCGCACGCCTTATGGTGACTGAGGCTTTGAGCTGCACTGAACCAATGATTACGCTGATGTCTGATATGGCTGTTGTTCACAATTGCACCCAATAAAATAAAGCCTCCCAGGCGAAGGATTCTGTGCGAGGGGGACGCCGTCCGTCGCGCCTCCAACGGGCCATGTCGGCGGGGGAGCAGTCCGCGAGGTGGAGCTCCGCTCCGCTCACGTTCCACGCGGAAACCAACACGGAGGGGGCGGGGGGGACGCGCCCGGCAGATGAAGCGGGCGCCGTCGATCAATCCTTTCTGCCGTCGCGATCAAACCGACGTGGTCCAATTTTTCCCCCTTCCATAAAAAAAAACGCAGAAAGTTTTCGCCGGGTAGACTCCACAAATTCCTGCCAATCTCACTCAACTGTCGGGCTACAATCGCTAAAGAAGGAAGTCGCATCATTAAAACGGAGACACGGCCTGCAGTGGTCTCACAGCAGCAGGGGGGGCGGGGGGCGATGTTGCCGTGCATCGTCCCAGGAGCATGACGCCGGCACGCAATGGCCTGCTCTTTTGAACGACACCACGCGACCTTCAACATCCACAGCAAAGCAGACGGCGTGTGTGCTATGTTATAGTCGATACACCCACGGTATTAACCAGGGCACCCTGCCGGATTCCAACCGCGAAACATCTCCTCCGAGCGGCAAAACGAGCTTCCGCTGGGCCACGTCCCTGCCGAGAAAGTAATTAGCGATGCATGTTTAATGACTGCCGAGATGACTAAAAGCAGGAAAACATGGCTACGTCACAGTCTCTCCTTGCAGGTGCGGCGTGCGTGAAGCCTCTCCAGCGAACTCATTCTCAATTCCCCACCGCGGCTGCGTTGTGAATTCCATAATGCTTATCCGCATCGCTGCCGGTCTCTAAAGCCGCGAGTACTTTGCTAATGGCTGCAGGACAGCAGAGCCGGGCACCGCCGCACAAAGCACTCCCAGACTTGGGAGCCCACGCGGAGTGAATCGTACGCGTGACCCACGCAGGGCGCGCTGCCGGTGTGAATGCACCGAGTCTGGCAAAACAAAACCAAAGCCAGGATGCTTCAACCAACGCACCACTTGGAAAATAGATAACAAAGGCTCAGCACATCCATCAACAATACTCTGGCCTTCAAAGGGAAACATATAGAAGCAGATCATGTTTCGGGGGAATGACCCTTGTCACGTGCCATTGCCCAAAAGCGTCGCCGATTAGACCGTACGTATTTTTTCCGCTTTGTGTCCAAACTATTTTCGATAACGGTGTTCAGTTTCTGTTGTCCTTCCTTGTGCACCGCTGCCAACGCAGCAGCAGAAGCGCCAAATTTCACATATATTTTTTAAAGTTTTCCATGAAGACACGTATTTCGCTGTGAAAACATAGGAGACACGCTCGCTGTATTCGCACGGAACCTACGGAGAGAAGGTATAGCTGTTCGGTGTCTGGGGCACCGGTCTGTATGGCACAGCGGACGGCAGCTTCCGGAACGAGCAACGCTCGAAGATACGACGACCCGAACTCACACGTCCCGATACAGCACAAAGCCGTTCACTCGCGCGGAAACCAGGCCGCCGCAGAGATGCTGCGCACGGGATTTCCTGCGGGGGAAGCCTCCAGCACGCATTCTCTGACGAGCAGGATTAAGTGCCGCTTGCCACCTTTGGGGCCAAGATTAATGCGGAGCTGCAGCCCCGCTAGCTTCGACTGCACTACCAATATATCAGAGGCAGTCTCCAGCGGACTAAGGGGCGCACTGGCGCGCAGCGCAGGCGGCTGACGGCACCGGTTGACCCCGGTGGCGCTGCATGCACAAGCAGGCCGGAGAGGTTTTCCTGGAACCCGGCCCTTTACCAAAGTCCCACCGGTACGCCTCGGCAATTTCTCCAACACCCCCCGGGGTGCACACAGGGCTCAGAGGGCCGTGCGTGTGGTAATGCGGAGTACTTCTGCAGTAATGGTCTCACCTGAGTAGCTGGAAATGGTTTCAGGAAGACTTTGTGCGCGTGCGCACACTGCTGACGAGCGGAAGGCAAAACCTCTGTCTAAACTTGGATACTGGAGGAAGACGACGACACACGGTGGAGTTGCATTTTAATTGCCATCATTACATTCATTAAGGCAATGCACGCTTGTAAAATATGCACGCATTGTTACACCAACGTGAAACGGTGACTAGTGCACATCCGTGGAAAAGAGCTTCAGAGCTCATCGGATTCCTCCAGTCTAAATAAAGATTTTGATTCTGAACTATATTTCTGAAAATCGTCCCCCAAGCCCAGAGCACGTGGGTTGTTTGCACTCAAGCAGGGCACACCGTTCACCACGTCACTACTCTGCCATTGTCTGCGCGGCTAGCAGAATCTCTGTTGGGTAGGAAACGCTGGTGTAAGTGTGCACGACGCTCGGGTAGCGCTCTGTTAAATTAGCCCGACTGTCAGTATTAAAGGCGGCCAGAGCACCCAGCGGTAGAGAGAGTGGCTCGCAGTCGGAAGGTGTTGCGAGTACTAACCCTGGTCGGGGGTTTACTTGGCCAATCATCCCTCTGGGATGATCAAAATAAATCAGTACTACTTTGTGGAAAAATAAACGCTGGTTGTACTATGAATAGACTCGCCCCTGTCATGGAAATGTAGAATTGAGAGCTATGAATAGAAGTGCACTGCCGCCTCATTTCTCATTGGAGCAGAAATCACTTTGGATTTGACTTCAGCCATGGAGAGCTATTCAGAGAGCAAATCTGCAGCACAAACACAGCAGAACTTGTTAACAACTCGGTGCATACATTGCATTACCACTATCGATATCCTGTAGATATTATTGAAAAACTTGCTTCTACTGCATTAAAGCTGCTTTTACGAGTTCAAAACTATTAGCTTTGGCCAAAGTAATAAAGTACGAGGCTTTATTTGTCAAAATCGAACACTTATTAATCCAGTGACCAATGCGTTTTCCAAATGCCCATATCCCAGCAGCAGGAATCAAAGCCGGCCAAAGCCTCGGCCGGCTTTGATTCTGCCGAGTCTCATCAGCATGACGTTAATGGGTGAACGGCCGGCACCTTGATCAGAAACGAGAGCCTTCCGCACCGCGAGGCCCAGACGTGAGTCAACGCAACGGTGGGGACATCCACACCAGAGAGAGGAGGGCCCAGTCAAGGAGTAAGATTCAGTTAAGGAGTAAGATTCAACAGCTTTTGATTCATCAACACAAATGGTAGAGAATGTCTTGCTTGAAAATAAATCGCCGCCACTCGGCAGTTTTCCGCATCACATTGCATCGCTCACCCTGAACAAACTCCCCTTCGCCAACTCGCAGTGACCAGCATGGTGAAGTATGGTCAAACAATTCCCACGAATGACAGTGCAGGGAATAGGAAGGCCTTCCGCTAGCAGTAGATTGACAAAGGGTGGCAATTATTCTGTGTGCATAGTGAGGGTCACAGACTAAATGTAATAATATTTCTATGAAATTTGAGAAAGAAATTGCAGCCAAATGTTTAGTCCGTACGATGTAAATTTCATGCAGACAGTTTTGCGTGCACTATCAATATTGATGGTGCATCGCCTCGCTGTCACTGTGTTCCAGCACTGTCGCCCTTCCACCGCTCACTCACCTCACACACACACACTCACCTCACACACATTCACTCACCTCACACACTCACCTCACACACACACACACCTCACACACATTCACTCACCTCACACACTCACCTCAAACACTCACCTCTCACACACACACACCTCACACACACACACCTCACACACATTCACTCACCTCACACACTCACCTCAAACACACACTTACCTCACACACTCACCTCACACACACACTCACCTCACACACTCACCTCACACACTCACCTCACACACATTCACTCACCTCACACACACACACTCACCTTACACACACACACACTCACCTCACACACATTCACTCACCTCACACACACACACTCACCTCACACACACACACACTCACCTCACACACATTCACTCACCTCACACACACACACTCACCTCACACACACACACTCACCTCACACACATTCACTCACCTCACACACTCACGCTCACCTCACACACTGACTCACCTCACACACTGACTCACCTCACACATTCACCTAAAACACACACTTACCTCACACACTCACCTCACACACACACTCACCTCACACACTCACCTCACACACACACACTCACCTCACACACACACACATTCACTCACCTCAAACACTCACGCTCACCTCACACACTGACTCACCTCACACACTCACCTCACACACTCACTCACACACACACACTCACCTCACACACACACTCACCTCACACACACACTCACCTCACACACTCACGCTCACCTCACACACTGACTCACCTCACACACTCACCTCACACACTCACTCACCTCACACACTCACCTCACACACTCACCTCACACACTCACGCTCACCTCACACACTCACCTCACACACTCACCTCACACAAACACTCACCTCACACACTCACCTCACACACTGACTCACCTCACACACTGACTCAACTCACACACTGACTCACCTCACACACTCACGCTCACCTCACACACTCACCTCACACACTCACGCTCACCTCACACACTCACCTCACACTCACCTCACACACTCACCTCACACACTCACCTCACACACTCACCTCACACACTCACTTCACACTCACCTCACACACTCACCTCACACACTCACACACTCACTCACCTCACACACTCACCTCACACACTCACGCTCATTCGCCCCACACACTCACCTCACACACTCACTCACCTGACACACACACTCAACTCACTTCACACACACCTCACACACTTATTCACTCATCCCACACACACACTCACTCACCTCACACACTCACGCTCACTCGCCCCACACACTCACCTCACACACTCACTCACCTCACACACACACTCAACTCACTTCACACACACCTCACACACTTACTCACTCATCCCACACACACACTCACTCACCTCACACACACACTCACTCATACACTCACCACTCACCTCACACACTCACTCACTCACCCCACACACTCACTCACCTCACACAGTCACTCACCTCACTTCACACACACACACTCACCTCACTTCACACACACACACACCTCACACACTTACTCACTCATCCCACACACACATACACTGACTCACCTCACACACACACTCACTCACCTCACTTCACACACACACTCACTCACCTCACACACTCACTCACCTCACACACTCACTCACCTCACACACTCACTCACCTCACTTCACATACACACGTATTCACTCACCTCACACACTCACCTCACGCACTCACGCTCACTCGCCCCACACACTCACCTCACACACTCACTCACCTCACACACACACTCAACTCACTTCACACACACCTCACACACTTACTCATCCCACACACACACTCACTCACCTCACACACTCACGCTCACTCGCCCCACACACTCACCTCACACACTCACTCACTCACCCCACACACTCACTCGCCTCACACAGTCACTCACCTCACTTCACACACACACACTCACCTCACTTCACACACACACACACCTCACACACTTACTCACTCATCCCACACACACACTCACTCACCTCACACACACACTCACTCACCTCACTTCACACACACACTCACTCACCTCACACACTCACTCACTCACCCCACACACTCACTCACTCACCCCACACACTCACTCACCTCACACAGTCACTCACCTCACTTCACACACACACACTCACCTCACTTCACACACACACACACCTCACACACTCACTCATCCCACACACACACTCACTCACCTCACACACACACTCACTCACCTCACTTCACACACTCACACACTCACCTCACACACTCACTCACTCACCCCACACACTCACTCACCTCACACAGTCACTCACCTCACTTCACACACACACACTCACCTCACTTCACACACACACCTCACACACTTACTCACTCATCCCACACACACATACACTCACTCACCTCACACACACACTCACTCACCTCACTTCACACACACACTCACTCACCTCACACACTCACTCACTCATCCCACACACTCACTCACCTCACTTCACATACACATACACACGTATTCACTCACCTCACTTCACACACACACTCACTCACCTCACACACTCACTCACCTCACACACTCACTCATCCCACACTCACTCACCTCACTTCACATACACACGTATTCACTCACCTCACACACTCACCTCACACTGCAAGTCACAACAGCTCTTGAAAATAACTTTACAAGGGGTGCGTTCGCTCGTTTCTATCACAACCGTAACCGTGCTGCTGGCCACCTGACGTTTGCGTTCATTCGCTGTCGACATTCTCCCCCGCTGAGACCGGGAAGGTGCGGCGCCAACGGGAGAAAGCCTCGCAACCGCCAGCTCGGATGCGGTGATGAGAACGAGTAAGGAGGAAATGAGATGAGGCTCAACATAAAAAAAATCGATCATTTCCCACACTACGAATGCAGAAGACGCATTAAATCATCAAAAGGAATTGATTGGAATGAACACCGCTTGGCGCTAATGGCGGGCGCCACAGCGGCGCGTGGTCAACGTGCTCTCGTGGGCAATTCAAAAGGGCGCCTTTTACATTTGTCCTGACACCGTACCGGCCAACTGCAAGATCAGCCCGAACGCAGCCATGATTGGGCAGAGCAGCGGGGCCCACAGAGCGCGAAATCGCACCAGAGGATCCGAACGGCTGCTTACGCGCGTCTCGTAGACCGACACGTACGAGTGCCCGGGTGAACGGCAATTGGACCGCGGGGCCAATGGCACACGTTGGGGTATCCCAAGAGGCTTGACTTGGCCCATCTTCCCCCTGCAGCCCGGCGAACGGCGATCACTTAGAAGTCGCACGCGGCTGAGTGGGAGCGTGCGGTCGATCCGCTGCTCAGCGTGGCCACGGAGCCAAACTCGTGCATGGAACGTTCCCCGGTTGCCACCATTACGGTCGTCGTGCGCATGGGATTTAACCGACGATG